CCGCAATGCACAGATATTAACTGACCCCACAGCCACTCGTGCGTTAGGATTTCGTAATGATCACCACCTCCCCCCACGACCGTCTCGCCTTGACATTGAATGTGAATATGTATGCAATGCACAATGTGAGATATGTTGCTACCTTACAGTTTACAGCATGCAACAATAAACAAAGGGAAAAAAGAATTAGTCCGCGACGCATTTGAGAGTCATGCCGTTTCCATGTGAACAATAACATGCCCTGACCACGTTGCAAGGAAAGAGCCTAGCCTACAACTGCTTAGCCTGCTACACGCTCTGTAAAACACAATAACATACAGCACGCATTATGAAATATGATATGATAACCCGACTGCAGTTGAACTCACCGAAGTGAAATAGCGCATTCCTTTCGTTAAACAGAAGGATCCTCTTTTATTCTTCAATAAATCGCTCCTCCGCGCCTCTATATGCGGTTTCTCGTCCCGATTCTGGTCTTCCTTCCTTTTACAACTTCAGTCTGGGCTGAAAAATGTCCCGCGTGGGTCGTGATCCACTCACCGGCTTTGTGTCGATTAATGTGACTCCCTGAATGTGCTGCTATTCGCCGTCTATCTCTCCCTCCCTCTTCGTCCTTGTGTTATGTCGGAGGCTTTGCTCCAGTTTTCGTCTCTTACACACACGTAAGCTACACACACACACTTGCTCCTCTCGTCGTCCTCGAATGTGTGTTAGTAGGTCAGCGGTTGCATAACACGGAGCTTTGGGTGCCTAGTCACGTTTTTGTTCATCATGATGATACACAAGCCTCCGCTCCTGCCGAAATGACCGAAGAGGGGACGGAGGTGGTCTAAAAAGCTCTTCTCTCCCGTACTCAGTAAAACGACACTCAGCCCATACACCCCCCGATCAGATATACGGCGACAGCAGTGTGACGCCTCTGTGTACTCAACACCTCAGCTTCTCTGGAAGAAGGAGGTTACGAGACTCTGCTGAAGTGTTGCGTAAATATTCACAATTACGTAAAAGACACTTTGGCTCAAAGAAAAGTCTCAGTTGATTACAATCTACCTCACCATCCATTTTGAAAAGTTTAATTACGTTTCTTTTAAACATTCTATCAGAAAAAAATATGTATTTAAGTGCTGTTAAATTGCGTTGTTCCATCTCAAACGTTTTAATATGTTGGGATAATTGTGCTTTTTTAAAAAGTTGCAGGGTTAATGGTTTTATTATTTAATAATAATAATAATTTACTAGCAAATTAAAATTCTAATCTCGAGGATATGTATTATAGTAGTGTAATTTTATATATATATATATATATATATATATATATATATATATGTGTCTAATAATATTATAGCAGTATGTTATGTTTTTTTTTTTTGCAATATGCACATTTTAATACATTTGAGGTACATAGTAGTTAAATACATTTAATATAACACTGAATTATGTGTACTGAAATATAAGTGATGAATCTCAAATAAACTTTAATATAATTCTGCTGTCGTTTATTTAGTTCTACATAGTGATTTTCAGTTGCCTAAAAAAATGCAATTCATTGCTGGCAGGACAACTTGTTGTTTAAGAATGAATGTCTTTCAAAACATGATACAGGCCAAGGATAAAATCCCAGAACAGGAAGCCAAGTTCAAGTTACATTCTTAACATTTTATTCTTATATTCAATGCAGCATTTGCTCACATCTCGGGTTTTGTGTACGTGTCTGTATGGGTTTTTTTTCAAAGTCATTATTACACAACACAAATCAGTAGGTTCTTCCTGTTTTACTCTTAAGTTCCTTGACCTGAACAATGTTACGGACGACAGTACAGTTCCCAGAAGGTGCTAATTATACACAAACAAACTGGTAACGTCATCTCTCCGAGAACGACTGTAGGGTATTCCAACCGGTTGCAGTTTGAATCCTTACATACCTGATTAAGTAATCACCTTAAACATGTTTTTGTAAATGCCCTTGACTCGGGTCATTTCATGGAAAAATTAATTACAAAGAAAATTACATTTAAATGGAAGTAGGTCATACAATTATTTTCATCACAAATTTGTATGTGAACCTCAGTGATCCCTAAAGGAATGGTTCACCCAAAAATGAAAATTTGCTGAAATTGAATCACCCTCAGACCATCCAAGATTTAGATGAGGTTGTTTCTTCATTCAGAAGTTTGGAGAAATGTAGCATTACATCACTTTGCGTATCAATGGATCCTCTGCAGTGAATGGGTGCCGTCAGAATGAAAGTCCAAACAAGTAATCCACACAACTCCAGTCCATCAATAAACATCTTGTTCCTGGCTACAATACAATACATTATTGTCTTGTGAAGCAAATAGCTGCATGTTAAGATACCTGTTCAGGATTAAGACTTTTTTAACTTGAAACCATAGTGTTTCCTTTAATGAAAAGTTTGTCTTGTTTGAATCAGGAGAGAAATGTGCCCAAGTCAAGCACCGTTTATAAGCAAAATCACTTCTAAGCAAATATGTCTATGGACATAGATGTGAGAGGACAACATGGGACGGACATTTTCACCGGAGGAAGCATTATTATAGATTGTGGACTGATATTTTGGCCATTAAATTTAAAACACATTAATGGATTTTTTTTTCTTAAACATGCAGCTTTTCACTTCACAAGATGTTAACTGATGGGCTGGAGTTGTGTGGATTACTTGTGGATTATTGTGATGTTTTTATCAGCTGTTTGGCGTCTTGTGAAGCAAATAGCTGCATGTTAAGATACCTGTTCAGGATTAAGACTTTTTTAACTTGAAACCATAGTGTTTCCTTTAATGAAAAGTTTGTCTTGTTTGAATCAGGAGAGAAATGTGCCCAAGTCAAGCACAGTTTATAAGCAAAATCACTTCTAAGCAAATATGTCTATGGACATAGATGTGAGAGGACAACATGGGACGGACATTTTCACTGGAGGAAGCATTATTATAGATTGTGGACTGATATTTTGGCCATTAAATTTAAAACACATTAATGGATTTTTTTTTCTTAAACATGCAGCTTTTCACTTCACAAGATGTTAACTGATGGACTGGAGTTGTGTGGATTACTTGTGGATTATTGTGATGTTTTTATCAGCTGTTTGGACTCTCATTCTGACGGCACCCATTCACTGCAGAGGATCCATTGGTGAGCAAGTGATGTAATGCTAAATTTCTCCAAACCTGTTCTGATGAAGGAACAAACTCATCTACATCTTGAATGGCCTGAAGGTAAGTACAAAACTTCAGCAAGTTTTAATTTTTAGGTGAACTATTCCTTTAAATGTTGTTAATGATAATAGTATTAATAATAATCATAATTTATAGACTACAAAAACAATGGTCATTTGTATTATTAATTTCGGTTTCACACTTTTCAGACTGACTTTTTGATGCCCACCCCATTTTTAACATGGCTGCTTACACTTAATTAAATTAATAAGTGTATTCCTTCACAAACAGATAAACCTAGCACAGATCAGCTCAATCAACCTGCAAACATCTGCCCAAAAGCCATGGTTTTAAAATACAGAATACAGAGCAGAATTTAGGCAGCTGAGCCTGTAAACCTTTTGTTTCGATCCACTGCTGCTTGCCTGTGTCTTTTTGCATTGCTTGCATGTTTAACGTTGCGCATAAGTGCATTCGTGAATCAATAACTTTGTCTCCTGCAGCTTTAAATAGCTACAGAAGTGCTGATGTTGACATTGAACATAGCTGCGATAAGCTGTCTGGCAGACAGTGAGACTGTGGGAATCTCTAGAGGAAATAAATTCAGACATTTTTGTTTCATTTTGCTCTTCTTGGTACAAGAACACCACTCCCTACTGAAACCGAATGTTTCTTTTAGCTTTGTATGTTGAAGTCACACCTTACTATAGGGACTCAATGACGTTCACTCTCACATCTTTAAATAGCCACTTTGGTGCTGACGCTGCCATTGAAGTTGTTGCTGTAATCAGCCACTTGGTCTTCAGCACTGTGGGAGCCAAATATACTGTTACCCTGCAAAGAGCTGCAACTACTGAGTATATGAGGGTGTTTTGATTGCCAGAGTTCAATATCTAAAATGACAAACAAATATAAATTATATATACTACTTTGGCAGTAGTGAGAAAGTAGAAAGTATTTTGATATAACAAATATTTAGATAAAAGCAGAAAATATTAGGCTACAATTTAAAATAACTGTTTTCTATTTTGAATATATTTTAAAATGTTATTTATTCTGTAATGCAAAGTTGAATTTTCAGCATCATTACTCCCGTGTTCAGTGTCACATGATCCTTCAGAAATCATTCTAATATGCTGATTTGAAGAAACATTTATCAATTGTAACATCAGTTTTAAACACAGTTGTGCTGCTAAATATGTTTGAGGAATTGTTTTTTTTTTCATGATTATTTGATGATTATAATGTTCAAAAGAAAAGCATTTATTTGAAATAGAAAATAGTCTTGTAATGTATTTACTGTCACTTTTGATCAATTTTATGTATCTTTGCTGTATAAAAGTATTAATTTCTTTGTAAAAATCTTACTGACCTCCGACTTTTGAATGGTAGTGTAAGTACACTTTTAAACCGTATAATTTGAGTGTGTGTTTAAATTAACTTCGGGGCAGTAATAAATGATTTTTAAAAATGCAATGCAGATTGTTCATTTTTGAAATTTTCTAAACGGAAAAGGTTTAGATTGAATTGCCATTTGTGAAGTTTCAATGTTGCCGGTGTTAGCTTAACTTAAACAAAGCACCATACGCTACAACAGTAGACACCGAAGACAGCAGAGCTTTTCACAGTATTTTTCATTTCATCCAGCATGTAGCGAACATTACTAGTGGAGCAGACAGGCATATTAAACATTCACATAAATTAAAAATCACTTAAATTGCCAGCTGTTCCAGTGAACAACCAGCTGGCTTCTTATATTTGTCTGTTCTAATCAGAAAAGGGGGTTTCTTTCTTTAGATAGGCCAGAAGACAGGTGGGACAGATGAGTTCAGTTCACTTTGGAGAGCTGATGTTGGGAGAGCAGTTTTTTGAGCTGGGCCACTTCTTCAGTCAAAGTGCTAATCTGTAATCTAATAGCGCTGTGACTTTCTGTATGCCTGTGAATTGAAGCATTATTCTGAAATGCTGTTGAACAAGCTGATGGCATTGTGTGTGTTTGTGGCCTCCATAAACCCTCTGTAGTATTCTCCACTGGAAGAAGGACCTCAGCATCTGCATCTTCAATTCCACATGGCGTCTTGAAACGCAGTTTATGAGGAAGACCTTTCATACTGTTCGCTTGCCATCCTAATGAATTTGTATCCACTGCTGCGATACCGCTTGGCTGTTCACCAGCTCTGTAAGAGGATTGTCGTATATGTTCACCTACAGCATCATCTGAAAGCTCTGGGCTCCCAATGCTTGACCCTCCAGGCATGAAGAACCCATAGTTTTGCGCCCCATCTGGACCACCATGATCTGAGATCGACAACAGATGACCAAAATTAGGTTGTGAGTTTGTTTTGGGGCAGTTGTAGCGTATTGCTGGAAATGTTTGGTTATGTGAACCAAAGGAGCAGGTCTGTGCTGGTGAATCTGTGGGATCTTTGATCAAACCGAATTTGAACTTAAGTGCCAGTAGCTCAGCTTTCAGACGTGCATTGTCTTCAAGAAGAGCCAAAACTTTGTTTTCTACCGCCTTGTCCTTGATGCGGCGTTTCTCACGTGAACGCCTGGCAGCTTCGTTGTTCTTCTTGCGCTTCTCCCAATAAACTTTGTCTTTTTTATCGAGAAGCATAGACTCACGTTTGCGACACAGTACGACATGGCTGTCAGTCTCAGAGCTTTCTTGGTGTTTCAGAACTCTGGGATGGATAAGAAAAGAGCGGGCTAGCATGCTGCTGGACATTAATATGGACACAGCTTCTGTGAAGGATATAGCTCCATCCTGATTGACTGGATCAGGTATTTCTTTAGGGTACATCACTCTCTGTTCTGCCAGCATGACGCTTTGGTCCTTCATGCTTTGAGTCTGGGGCTTAATGTATGTGAGAAACAGTGTTGCCAACTTCTTTCAATGGAAAGTAGCTAAATGACATCATACGCGAACTAGCATATTCATGACGTCAGTGTGTCGTATTGTCTTGCCTCCCTGTGCTCACGTACTGCATTTGAATGCAGCCAAATTCTCAATAAAACTGTTTTTATTAATATATTTCACTGTTTCTGTTGTCAGACAACGGAATTAATATCATAGTGACTGAAATGCGGTCCATTAAAGGAGTCATATGATGTTGCTAAAAATAACATTATTTTGTATTAGCATATTCATGACGTCAGTGTGTAGTATTGTCTTGCCTCCCTGTGCTCACGTACTGCATTTGAATGCAGCCAAATTCTCAATAAAACAGTTTTTATTAATATATTTCACTGTTTCTGTTGTCAGACAACGGAATTAATATTATAGTGACTGAAATGCGGTCCATTAAAGGGGTCATATGATGTTGCTAAAAATAACATTATTTGGTGTATTTGGTGTAATGAAATGTGTTTATGCGGTTTAAGGTTCAAAAAACACATTATTTTCCACATACTGTACATTATTGTTTCTCCTCTATGCCCCGCCTTCTGAAACGCGTCTATTTTTACAAAGCTTATCGGTCTGAAAAGCGAGGTGTGCTCTGATTGGCCAGCTATCCAGTGCGTTGTGATTGGCCGGATACCTCAAGCGTGGGACGGAAGTGTTACGCACCTTACCATACTGTGATGCCATCTCCCGGCACGACCAGACAAAATCAATAAAACCCATTACAAACGAGGCATTTGTTGCATCCAGTGGGGACATAATTACGGATTATAATGACTTATACTGTCTTTTTACGTGCTGCGTTGCATCGCGCGCGAAAACATAAAACCATGTCTGCATTTGTGATCGGAGAAAGGACAAACAACAAGTGCTACTACTCTGCTCAAAACTCGCGTTTGAATCATCAGTGGCAAATCCTTTAAATGAAAACGTACTTACAGTCTGTGAGTCAGAACAGAACATTGTAGTCTACTCTCCCAGGATCAGGAAATAGTCCTCCATAAAATGCGCTGCACACATCTTAATATTTGGGTTGAACTGTTCTGGAACAGTGTTGTAAATGCAACTTAACCACTGATTTCTAGTCATGTCCTTCCAAAAGAGCCGGTGGCTTGAGTGAGCGGAGGCCGGCGGGCTTGCGGCAATCACATGTGATGACTCCGCTTTGTCTATGGTGGAAGCCGTTCAGGCGATCCACAGCGCGAAGTTGATGTATTTCCTCAGCGACCAGCACGGATCAGCTCCAGGCATGACGAAGCGGATATCGTCCTCTTTTGGAAGGCCAAACAAAGTAGTTTTGCTTTCACAACGAAACACAACGCCTTCACAACATGGCGGCGGCAACAACAATACTACAGCGAGAATAAAATTTACGCCTTCTTTCTTTGCGTGAACATTTGGGCGGCGTTATGCAAATCTTCCCACATAGTGACGTAGACGTGTTAGGGCGTGTTAGAACGAGCCGTTTTAGCTAGGCGTGGTTGACTCTTAACTTTTATAAAGAATATCTCTTTGGATTTGAGACTTTAGTCTTTGCAACTTTACAGATCTTCTTTGTGCACCAAGAGCTTGTAACACTCCAAAGAGAAAGGAAAAATTGAAATCGCATCATATGACCCCTTTAATGTGCTGCTTACTGACACACACACATATTGGAGATTGAGCAGCTCACACATCCAGGAGAAAAGAAACTTGTCAATGCTGCCCCACAACTTTTATTAATAACAGTTTAAATACTGAATCGCTACATTATATTTTCCAGCAACGAGAGGATACAATTTTTTTAAGTTAACTCACTCTAAAAAGAGAAACGCACAGATGCGCGTACACGCAACTTTCATATCTCTCTCTCTCGAATTGGCAATATTTGAGAAAAGGGTTTAGCGATTTCTAATTATTGGGGGGACTAGCCCCCCTCAATATCTATGGTGGTTATCGCCCTGATCAGACATGAAAATATGTTGTGGCACCATCGTGCAGTCAGTAATGATATGACGTTAGCAAGCTTTAGCTTCTTTTTTCTTTAGCGACTCCATTTCTTTGAGTAACATGACCGTAAATATGAACTCACGATTGAATGTAACATAAAACAAATGATTACTTAAAAAAAAATCTTTATTAATGCCAAAAATGCTTACATTTATGTGTCTTTTTGTTCGCTCGGGCAGCCATGTTGCCGCTGAAGCCGGTTTACGCTGAGTTAATTCATACCCTTTCGTTTGAAGTGTGGTCCTGAAAAATCTTCGTTTGAAGGGCTATCTGGCCCTTCCCCTTACCCCTACCCCTCCGACCAAAAGAGAATCAAGACAGTCCTACCCCTTCAAGTTAACGCACGAAATGGAGGGGTAGGGGAAAGGGGAAGGGCTAAGGGGTAGAAATGGGATTGGGACTTAATCTCAGCTGTATCCCCCCAAACCCCTGTAAACCGACTAGGGCTTTAATGGCCAGTAAGTCTTGTGGTAACTGTGGGTCTTTTTGCGGATGTTTTGTCAGATTTATTCCTTTTTGCTTTAGCATTTATATATAATTTGAAAAGTGTTAATACATCTAGGCATTTCTCCAGTGGCCCAAAATGACATATATTAATAATAATAATAATGATAATAATAAAAACAACAACTTTATGATTCACATTTATCCAGTACACTGGAGCAGTGGATGGACAGAAACTGTGTTGTGTGTTAGTTTGCCATCTGTTGGTTGGAGATGAGACTTACAGAAAGGATTGAATTGCAGTTGCTTTATTAGTGAATAAGATCACATAAAGATGATCATATATTCAGTAAAAACATTAGCATAAAAAGCTAAATATATTTAATTTTATTATGATGGTATCTTGTTATATAAATAGCAATATTACACATGAAGACTTTTATGACTTTTGGGAACATTTAAAATGCTACAGAACTTCCACACAATAAGGACTATAGACAATAAATAGGAAATCGGATCAAAAACAAAATGATATAAAATAATAACAATGTTCATCCGCTGACCTGAACAGCTACATACTGTATATAATATTTTTTGGCATTTTCTGTAAAAATCACACTTTAAACTTAAACTTATATTTCTGCATCTTTATGTACATGAGCTAATTCCAGTTCATATCCATCAGGAATTTTCTTATATTACAGCAATGAGAGCATTTTACACTGCCCTGCCAGTTGACTACTTTTCTTTCTGAAAATGTTTTATCTTTATTTTTTACATGAATTCATTTTTGATGGGCGGGTTTAAATTAGTTCATTACCGTTTTCCAATTCATAGAGTTTAGATAAAGGGTCCAGATTGGAAATAATCTGATGTTTATATTGTAAGAAACTAAAAATTTGGAGCTCTTGATTTCAGTGTGATACCTACTTATGATTAAGATTTCATATTTAAAAAAAAAAAAAAACACCAACTCCTCAACTTTATCATATAATGTACAGTATGTACATGTCAGTTGTATGTTTATGCAATAGTGCTTTATACATAAACAAAGTCCAGCATCTCACCTGCTGAACACAGGTCCTCGCAAAACCTCTGAAATGCCCTCATGGGCTAACCTTAACGTGTGGATGCATTTGGTGGTTGTGTTTTGCTTGTGTTTGGCCTCACACATGTCTCTTCATGTGTAATGCCAGGTGGTCGGATCGGCTGAAGGCTCTGTGGCAGAGCATACACTCATATGGCTTCTGTCCCGTGTGCTTTCGGAAGTGTCTCGTCAACTCATCCGAACGGGCGAACTTCCACCCGCAACCTTCCCACGTGCAGTGGTACGGCTTTTCACCTGAGGACAACAGAAAATATGAACTCACGATTGAATGTAACATAAAACAAATGATTACTTAAAAAAAAATCTTTATTAATGCCAAAAATGCTTACATTTATGTGTCTTTTTGTTCGCTCGGGCAGCCATGTTGCCGCTGAAGCCGGTTTACGCTGAGTTAATTCATACCCTTTCGTTTGAAGTGTGGTCCTGAAAAATCTTCGTTTGAAGGGCTATCTGGCCCTTCCCCTTACCCCTACCCCTCCGACCAAAAGAGAATCAAGACAGTCCTACCCCTTCAAGTGAACGCACGAAATGGAGGGGTAGGGGAAAGGGGAAGGGCTAAGGGGTAGAAATGGGATTGGGACTTAATCTCAGCTGTATCCCCCCAAACCCCTGTAAACCGACTAGGGCTTTAATGGCCAGTAAGTCTTGTGGTAACTGTGGGTCTTTTTGCGGATGTTTTGTCAGATTTATTCCTTTTTGCTTTAGCATTTATATATAATTTGAAAAGTGTTAATACATCTAGGCATTTCTCCAGTGGCCCAAAATGACATATATTAATAATAATAATAATGATAATAATAAAAACAACAACTTTATGATTCACATTTATCCAGTACACTGGAGCAGTGGATGGACAGAAACTGTGTTGTGTGTTAGTTTGCCATCTGTTGGTTGGAGATGAGACTTACAGAAAGGATTGAATTGCAGTTGCTTTATTAGTGAATAAGATCACATAAAGATGATCATATATTCAGTAAAAACATTAGCATAAAAAGCTAAATATATTTAATTTTATTATGATGGTATCTTGTTATATAAATAGCAATATTACACATGAAGACTTTTATGACTTTTGGGAACATTTAAAATGCTACAGAACTTCCACACAATAAGGACTATAGACAATAAATAGGAAATCGGATCAAAAACAAAATGATATAAAATAATAACAATGTTCATCCGCTGACCTGAACAGCTACATACTGTATATAATATTTTTTGGCATTTTCTGTAAAAATCACACTTTAAACTTAAACTTATATTTCTGCATCTTTATGTACATGAGCTAATTCCAGTTCATATCCATCAGGAATTTTCTTATATTACAGCAATGAGAGCATTTTACACTGCCCTGCCAGTTGACTACTTTTCTTTCTGAAAATGTTTTATCTTTATT